TTTATCACAGTTTTATTGTGCATTTAAGAATAAAATGTAATTAAATTTAATTAAAGGGGACAAATTCTGCAAAACTCGCCTTTTGCATTGTTTTGTGTTGCCATGTGGGTTTCTACTGCCTCTACCAACACTCCAAATGTGGGAGGAAAAAAAGCATCCACCATTGTCTGTCAGTGTTTGGTTTTAAGAATTATGTGCCTAAATCAAATCATTAATCATTTCAAAAGGTCCTCGTTTGTGATGTCACAAATGGAAAAATTAGAAAAGAACCACCTCCCACGTGCAAAAAAGAGCTACTGCTGAAGAGCAACGGCTTTACTCCGAGCCCCTCCCAGATTTCAGAGCTTCTCAACTGATAGCAGCTTGAGCAGGGAATGAGCGTGTGTGGCCAGACTCAGCTTGTTTTCCTAAATTGGCAGCGCCTTGAAACGGCTCATTCTGGAAGGTACTAAAACAGTCGACACTAAAAGCTATAATTTCTTATGTTTGAATTTTAAATACTGAGATATGTGAGAAAAGTTGCCGTCACATATTTTTCAGTACCGGGAAGAAAGTACCTTTGCTTGATCCAAGTTTATCACATCAAAAACCAAATACGTACACACACATGTAGTCTGTGACAGATTCATTTGTTGGAGAGAAATATATAAGCTGTTGATTGTAGCTCTCGGACTTTTTCACTCATAAATACTCAGAGGGAAGCACTAAATTTGGTTAATTATGATTAAGTGTTACTAAGTCACAAGGCCTTGGATGGAGAAACACTGGTTAATATTCTGGTGTGGCTTCAAGAGAAAAGGCACGAGGAGGAAGGGAGAGAGGCTGTGTACAGAACCAGTCCAAAATAGATCCATCTCTGTGGTCGGCTGTTATCGTCCGTTGAAAAGCATCTCTGGGGAAGCAGGAGGCAGCCGTCGCGGATGCACTTCCAGGGAGACACATTCTTCCATGGAAAGGTTTTATTATAGATCAAGTGTCAGCTTCACAAGTGTCCACAGAAATGATCACATCAAAACATACGGTTGAATAATTAAGGTTGCATTTTAAAAGTTTTTTTAAATTTAAAATAAAAATCCTGGAAAAGGGTTTTAACAAACAAATAAAGAGTTAAATTCAGCATCTTCTCAGGGGTACAGAGAAGGACCAGTCATTTAAAGGTGATGAAAGCTGACTTTAAAAAAGATGCCCATCTATTCTTAGAGGCCTGATGTAGCATCGACTCACGCGTTGTTTCCCCTCAAACTATTTTAGTAGTGGAGCCAGGTGGACCACTTTGAACCAAGGTTGAATTATTTATTCACCTTTAGTCATCATCGCTGTGAGCCGTCTCCATGGAGGCACGTGCACACTCCAGATCACATTTAATATTTTAAAAAACATAAGATTTCCTTTTGTTTTATTTGGCTTTTCTAAGGATCTTCCAAAACACAATCTCCTCCAAAATCAGTTCAGCAAGAAATCCAAATCCAACAATTTGCTTCTAAAAAAGGCAAATTAAATGAAAAGAATGTGATGGTTTACAGTAGCTCGCTTTAAGCCCATGAACAGCTTTTCATCTTCAGCCAAAACCTTCTGTTCTTAACAAAATCCTCTTTGAATAAGAGCATCAGGATTCTCCATATCCCCAAAGTGAATTAGGATGCTGGTGTGCCAGCATGCATGGCAACATGAGCTACTCTAAAACCAGCTCTAGACTGGCACGAAACGAAGACACACTGTGGGTGTTTGCTTTCATTTCATTTGCCTTTTTAAATGACATCAAAAAGGGTTAACTGTGACAATATGTCACTGGGACATGAACAAGCCGCAGTTGTAATTTTCCCCACTTATAAAAAGGTTTTAAAAAAAAGAAAAATGGAAGTGAAGCCAATTTGCATAAAACTCTTGGGATGTAGAGCACACTGGTAGTTGCTGTAGATGAATCCTAAAAAACAGTGTTAACACGATGTGTACATGTTGTACCAAAGGCAAAACCCAGTATATTCACACATTTATTGACGTTAGCAACAGCAGCTGTTGGGGTAGCGGTGGTTTGGCAGCTGAGCTACAATTTTTTTTAACCCCCAATTCTGTGGTCTTCTCTTTGAACCGACGCTACACGGTTAGCCTGGCAAAACGCAGCATGGCTGTGTTTCTATTGTATGTGCAAGTGTATGTGGATAAATGTGTCTGTTATTAGTGGTCAGGGGATGGTGGCACTGCCCTTCATCATCGTAAAATGGATTTAATTGGGTGGAGAAAATTAGGGTCTGGTCTGTCTTTTGGTATTTGAGCAAGAACTTTTGTGCGCGTGCGTGCGTGTAATGAGTCATGAATTACAGAAAGCCTAATTCTAAAGGGAAATTGAGGTTAATACACTAGAGAAACAATCAATAGAAGGAAAAACTGGGTATGAAAAGAAATAAGACAGATTAGAGAAGATCTTTCAGGGAGTATGTATGAGAGACAAATTAAAGACCTGTTATTTTTTAAATACAATCGGTCACCCAGAGTTTAAAATCCAGGTTAATTGTGAAAATGGTCTTCTACCTCTATTTTCTGCATTAGGCACCGATGGAAACGCGGACAGGAAAGGGTTCGGATTAGCAAAGCCAATTAATTGCAAGGAACAGTCAAATTAGCATTCATGGACTCATCCATCTTGGCTCACAACTGTGGAAGGCTGTTGTTGGTTTAGCATCCAGGAGAGAGCAGCACGCCTCTGCTAGTAGAAGCTAACTGTTAGCATTATCAACTCTACAACACAGCAGAACTTCTCCAGGCTTTTATTTGTGAAGATAAAACATCAACATTGCAAAGCAAACCGACTCTGTGGTAGAGTCATGTCACTGTTAGCCAATCAGAGGTGAGATGTTGAAAAATCATGAAATAAGACACCAAATCCTGCTGTCTTCTGCTCACCTCTGCTCTGACTCACTTCTAGTTCCTGAAACTTGAGCACCACCGAGATCGACTCACAAGGCATTTATTTTTACTAGAAACCGCTGCAAATGTGTTTAAAAAAGCCAGTGTATTTGGTCTTTCTTTGTTGTCTGTTGATGTTTCTGAACATGACACATTGTTTAAAATTTACTTTCGTCCCTTGGTCATTAATCATGTGTGAATATTTTTTTACATATGGAGGGGAAAGGCCTCATTTGAACAAGAGTGGTGATATATCATGACTGACCAAAGCTGTAATTCATACTACAGTCATAATTAAATTTTGATCATTGAGACTTTTACGTTTATCAAACACTTTTAAGAGAAAATCAGGCAGTTTTGGCTTGCTTTTACCATCCCCTAGTGTGAGTTTGTAGAACCGAAAGCAAAACTTATCTCCACGCTGTGCGTTCGTCTTTTTTACACCTAAATCCAACAGCTGAAATGTCTCCCAGCCTTCATTAGTCTCTACAGGAGTGATTTGTCACTAAATTAGACAAATCAGCCATGTTGATGATCTTAAACATGCAGGAATTGTGCTGGAAACAGACTGCAGTTCCAGATATATCAAGTCCCAACAGAGCCTGGTGGCCTTTCATTAACCCTGCAAAGGAAAATTATTTAAATATCTGAAAAATTTGCAAAGTGTCCCTTTAACCCTTTAGACTTACATCAACTGTCTTCATTCTACTTGTCAATAGATTCACCAAGGTATCGTTTAAAGGTCCATATTGTCATGACAGCATCACACAGTTACATCCATAATGCAAGTTTCCTATTCCACCAAATCCTAAAGGTCTTGGAATGGATCCAGCTCTGGTGATGATGGTCATGTTCAAAAACAGTCAGAGGTGATCTGAGCTTTGTGACATGGTGCATTATCCTGCAGGAAGTAGCCATCAGAAGATGGGTCCATGTGGTCCCAAAGGGATGGTAAAAGTGTTGCCTTCCTGTCATCTCAAACAAGTCCGCCCCTTTCTCTTCTGGCCTTTCCCGGCAACAAAGCAGTTACTCCCACATAACTGCCAGGCCACTCTCTGTAGGACACTGGAGATGGTTGTGGGTGAAAATCTCAGTAGATCTGCAGTTTCTGAAATACCACGATGAGCCCATCTAGCACCTTCTTTCCCTATCCCTAGGCTCACTTTGAACTCCAGGAAGCCGTCTTCCTCTTATTTAAAGTACATTGAGTTGTTGCCATGTGACCAGCTGATTGAGTGAACTGCTGACGCTATAACAAAGACTTTAAATCACGGATCAATAACACTATACAAAAGATCTTCATTTCATTTGGCATTACTTATCCTAGCTTCGCCTTTCAGAATTTTGTCTGCTGCACCGTTGCAGCAATTTACAGAAGCACACACAGCGTTATGGTGAAAATGTTCACATGGTTTCAGTTAGTGGGGAAAGCATCACATCCAAACTAATGAGAACCAAAATGGCCCCTAAGGGCATTGAGGGGGTGTTGGCACCAAATCCGGCAAACCAATCATCATCAGACTCATGCTGCCATAAGTCTGAACACTGCCAGTCTCAGTGACCCTTTTTACTCTCTGTGTGCTTTTGCGTCATAATCTATTTAGGTTTCTGGAACAAAACAGAAGCTTTAACAACCTAAAAAAAAAGGATTATCTTCAGTCGGGAGACCAGCACAGTGGCAGTGATGAGGGGAAGCACATCTTTGGGTGTTAATGCTGGGAGTGGACACTCCGACGGAACTTTAATCGCTGCAAATTTCACTCTAAAAACTCTGAAGTTTTAGAGGAATGCAAAGAAAAGCAAGAACAGGTTTCCTGTGTGGTCGATACGTGACAGATGGCAAATGCTTCAGCTAAGACATCGCGGGTGTGGTTTGAGGAGGGGGTGGGTGAGGAGCGCTGAAAGAGCGAGGCAAGGTGGTGGAAAGATGGATGGAGAAGAAAGAGGCAGAAGTGAGGTTTCACCCACCACAAAGCATAGATGGCATGCTACTCTACAACCACTTCCCCGATTTGGATGACTCATCCTTCAATTCTGGCCAATCAGCACCTGTTCATATCTGTTAGAGTTATTGGCCGTTTGTGTTTCCATCTTACCCTGGAGATGGTGAGAGGCATGCTGAAGTCCTTTCCTCCCTGCAGCCTGAAGCCCCAGGGGGCAGGGCTTAAAAGAGTGACGCTGTAGTTGCTGCTCATGGTCTCTGTGATAACGCTGTCTGGTGTTGATCACACGCGGGTGATGCTGATGGCTGAAAAAAAAAATGGTTCCACATAGTTGAGTGTTAATGATGACGGGATGTCAACACCTCAGTGGTGACATCTTTAAGCCAGAAGTGCTTTGACTCAATTTGTGACATTTTTCTCAGGATCTGGGCTGAGATGACAGATATTCTGTGATAAAGGAAACATGCAGGGTTAATTTTCTACTTATTTAGATTTTTTTCAGGAAATCTGGAAATGTCTTTGATGCTATTAATAAAACATTGTTGCTATTCTGGAGTCCGCGGCAGAACTTTAGCTGAAATCAGACCTGTTCACAGCTAATCTGATTATAATCGTCACTATTTGGTGTCAAGAACGTACCTCCTTAATGAAAACTCCAAAGAGGAAAATGAAAAAATCAAATTTGCTTAACAGAAAGGTCAATGCGTTCCCAGGTTTCTCGATCCACCTTCCCAGTAAACACTCTCAGACGGCCACGCAGGGATGCAATGCTCTTTTATACCCATTAATGACAGGGGGAGGGGGGAAAGGTGGAGGAGGGGAGAGAAGGAGGCTCGATGAAGAGTGGGTAGACACAAGGATGGGAGGGGAAAGGGGAGGGGATTCTGGCATGGGTGGAGCAAAGGAAAGCCTTAAGGAGGAGAAATGAGGGAGATAATTTGAAGGGTGAGATTAAGGTATGAGGGGAGACATGGGTGAAGGGTGGATTACAGAAAAGAGCGTGGGAGCACATGAGAATGACACAAGGATGGAGGGGAGGCATGGGAGAGGGTGTTTTACCTTTCATCTAGATATTTTGGGAACATGGAGTAACTGCTGCAGACTGGTGAGAGCACCGAGGAGGACATTTGAACCAACAACCCAAAGGTTTCAGGTGGTTCTGATGTCATGTAAACACTCAACTGTCCAACTTGTGTCTGTCCAACTTTGAGACTCAAACAGACCATCTTAATCAATCAGGAAAGGACATTACATAACTGCTGCTCTAATCTCTTAGCTTACACGAAGCGAAAAAGGAGCACACTCATTTCTTCTGTTTATTTATCAGTTCTTACATTATTTACATCCAGACAGGTGGCAGCTCCGCTTGTTCGATGCTGGATTGTCCATTCTACTTTATTTTAGTCCAGACAGATTGACTCTGTAGTTAAACTCATCCATGGCTAATTTAAACATCAAACTCCTATTTTGAGCTGGACCACACACTCAGATCTCATCTCGCCCTGGATTACAGTACTCATTGTTTCAGCAGCATCACATGTGCATGGTTAAAAAACTCTGAGAAAAACGGCTGTGAACATTGAAGGGATATTTGATTAAGTCTGATCAAGACAATTACCATAAATGGAAGGCAGAAGGACAAAGTAAATCACTCAATGATAATGAAAGAAAAGCACAGAGAAATGATGGGTATGCGTTTACTCAACCCCACAGCCGCCATCTTTTACTGTGCCAGTTCAAGGCTGTGCAGTAAACACAGAACTATAAGAAACAAGACGATGAAAAGGGACAAAGGATGAGATTACAGCAAATACTGAAGGTGCAGAAAGCAAATAAACAAGTGTGTGTGCATGCACGTGTGTGTGTGTGTGTGCGCATGTGAGTGGGTTCTGTCTTCTCGATCACCAGTGAGTCGTGGTGGATGGCTGCTTATACTGAGCCAGGATCCTCTGGAGGTTTCTTCCTGTTAAAAGGGAGTTTTCCTCTCCCCCATCGCTGCATGCTTGCTTAGTATGAGGATTGCTGTAAAGTCTCTGGCACTAGTCAGTGACTCGATGCAAACTACTGGGTTCCTTACAGGAAACGTTTTACTGATTGGCTTAATGAATTGAACTGTATTGGAATGTTTACTTTGTGAAGAGCCTTGAGACGACTCGTCGTGATTTGGTGCTTTATAAATAAACTCAGTTGAATTGCAAATGTACTAAAAATATGAGTAAAGCTCCTTTTCAGTACAAGCTGAGGAAAGTGACACAATAGGTGCTTGGGATTTTGCCCTGCAACTTAACATTAGCTTCTCAGACGGCAGAATTTGAGCTGCATTACATCGTCTTTACAAAGGACTTCAATCGTTTGGCGCTTTTTAAGATCTCCATCATGGAAGATTTCCTAATGAGGTGATGAAATTTAACTGGAAAACATTTATTCTGTTGAATTCTACATTCATGATCATCGTTTGATTTGTTCTCATAACGTTTAAAACATCAAACATGGGAATTTTAAGAAAACGCCAACACACGTCGCTTTAAAGATTGTGTTAAATCAAATCAAACAAGCAAATGCCTTTTAAAATAAAAAGTAAACAAATGTTTAAAATCATTATGGAATTATTCTGGTTCTCAGAAAAAATATTCACCTAGTTGTCTTTGTTGATGCTTGTGAAGTTTTGATCAATTGCTGGTATTAAACATGGCTCACGGCCAAAATCTGTGACGGGGAGAACAAAAGGGATTTGTGGAGCGTATCAAACACTGACAATAGAGAGAGTGCTTCAGCCTCCAGAACATCAGACACACTTTATTGTTCTGTCCGAAGGTCTGTTCCGGTCCCCATATGCTCACCTCTCCCCCTGCTTAATGATCACAGCTTAGCCCGCTGCCAGACACTCGTACACACCAACACACACAAGCTGAGACCTACTCCCTTACTGCTATGATAATCTGGCCCTCTAAGTGACAGTCAATAGATCATCCAGTTGGGGAAAAAAATAAAAGTACCCCCGCCCTCTACTACTGACAGCTGCCCTCCACCCCACACTAACACACATGTGCTTCCAACCTGGGGGGCAAAACACGGTTGTTTATCAAATCCCTTCATTTTCAGGTCAATCTGCTACACCCTTAATAGTTTCAGCAGCATTCACTTCAAATGCTTGAAATATTTGTAGTTAATGTATTTTCCACGGGCGCATGCTAACAGTCTTCACAAACACGAGTTTGATTGTTTATTTTGGGGAGCGTGTACGTCTGCCGGCCTTCTAATCGGTCCGACCCTTCCAGACTAATAAACCAAACTAATCCCTCAACCCATCATCGTACAGTGACCCCGGCACAGTTTGGTTTACGGCAAGAGTCTTAAAAGGACAGTCAGAAAACTTTATATAGCTTTGGACACGAGTAAAGGTTGTTTCCCCAAAGAATTCAGACTTTATTGTTCCAGTTTCCTTTGTTGTATCTAAAAAGGAACAAGACATTAACACACACACACACACACACACACACACACGCTAATGTTTGGGTCAGATTCAGGTCACGTGGACATTTGAAAGCCAAGTGTAATGTTTCCTTTGGGAAATGCAGGGAACCAAAGAGACCATCTACCACTTAAGACTTCTGGCATCAGCTGTTCCTAATCATTCTGTCCATCTCCTGTTTGGAGACAGACCGGTGGACAAATCAAGGAAAGAAGCATTACTGAACATTTTATTAGGATATGCCAAAGTGACAATTTGCTACATTTCTTAATAAATATTTTCTCATTAGATAACATATGAGGTGAATTCTGGATACATTTCTTATTTATTGTCCCAAGTGAAACTGTGCAGACAGATTATCTGGAGAAAAGGTGATTATAATCTCACGACTAATCTTGTTTTCTGTTTTATTACAACATGATTACAGTGTAAATGTAAGACTTGACATTATTTGGTATTCATCAGTGATTAATAATTACTTTTTCAACCTGAATTGGATAACTGTCCTGTTTTCTGATTAAGTTCTGTTTTAACTTGAGTTTGACAATTTATCTAAAGACAGCAAATCCTGCTTTTCTAAAGTAGAAAAACACATTCATCCGTCATCTAATAGAAATTAGCCGTATTATCAAAGTACATAACCACACATCTCAACGATAATATTGTGAGAATAATTGAAGCATGCCCTCTCTTTAACTTTGAAGTCAAATGAGATATTTCTGAAATAATTTACAACTCTGTGGTCTCGTTTATAGTTTATGGAATACAGGGGCCCAGAAGGGTCATCAAATTACAAAAGCCACAACACAACAAAACCCACAACACAACACAACGACACCCACAACACAACACAACAAAACCCACAACACAACACAACGACACCCACAACACAACACAACAAAACCCACAACACAACACAACGACACCCACAACACAACACAACAAAACCCACAGCACAACACAACGAAACCCACAACACAACAAAACCCACAACACAACACAACGACACCCACAACACAACACAACAAAACCCACAACACAACACAACGACACCCACAACACAACAAAACCCACAGCACAACACAACGAAACCCACAACACAAGAAAAGCTACAACGGAAGTTCTGCTAAAACGGAAATGACGCGACCACGGAAGTCCCGCTAAAACCGGAACCAGTAGTTGGCGGTAATGCGCCACATTGTTGACGAAGAGAAAGAAGAAGAAGCACCACAACAAACAAATACGGTAGCGGGAGTTTTCAAGTGGAAAAGTAAGTAAAACGTTGATATTGTTCAGTTAACGTAGTGTTGAAGTATGTTGTTTTAAAGATAAATGACTTCATTGTTGTGTTGTGTTGTGTTGTGCTGTGGGTTTTGTTCTGTTGTGCTGTGGGTTTTGTTGTGTTGTGTTGTGTTGTGGGTTTCGTTGTGTTGTGTTGTGGCTTTTGTAATTTGATGACCCTTCTGGGGCACTGTAATGGAATATCCATCATTCCAAATGAAAATGCATAAATACATGTTTAATTAAAAATCAGCTTACAGAAGTTGCTTCCTCTTCCATTGTTCAGTGTTCCCAATGCTGCTTCTGCAAAACCTAAAAACATGAACTAAATCAGCTCGAGAAGGTGTAAAGAGGAAAAAACTAAAAGATGCAGGACAATAGTGTTCGAGGACATAAATATAGTAAATTAACCTTTTTAAAGCTGCATTTTCTTTGTAATAGATGGGAAAGTCATGCACCACTCCTTCAGATTTTCTCCAACCTCCAAAAACCAAATAAACCAGCTCTATTCTGTAGTCTAGAGGACATAAGATTACAAACACAAACAAAACAAATAAAATGAGGCTGATTTGAAAGGATGAACAAAGGAAGTTCATGGAGTAACGGATCGGACCTGAACGATAAGGGTTGAGGCTGTGTCATGAGCAGCGTGGGTTGGAAGGTGAGTATCCAAATGCAGGTGAGCAATCATGAGGAGGCAGGCAGGTAAACTATTTACTTTGAATAACAACACTCCAGAGTTTACGGGCATGACAAGGACAACCAACTAACTAGAGGACCCAAGAAGGAATTGAAAAACAGGAGGGCTTAAATTCAAGAAGGAACAGGTGATCAGGATTGATTTAAGAACAGGTGTGACTGATTAACAAAGGAAGCAGAGAAAAAAAAGAAAAGGTGACTGGATGAACTGCTACTGACAGGCCGTGCACCTATTTAAATCACTCTTTGACTTTTAAGATGTCAAATCAAAACCAAGACGAGGTTTTCAGGTTGAATTGTTAATAAATAAATAAAAAAAGAGATGTAAAATGTCTTTTTTATTTTAATACATACATTCACTCCCTCAACATATATTGGTGACTAAGGTCAAGATATTTGAGACAGAGGGGTCTCAGGAGAGGAAAGTATCTGCTCCATCTTGCACAACCTATATGACCAAACATCAATACTTCAAAACCCCTCCTCCACCACCTCACTCATCGTACAGACTGTATCTGTTACAGAGACTAACTTCAGTTGAACAGATGTTTTAAAAGCAGGGTTTATTTTCAGGGAACATTTAACTTTTTTTGCATTTTTGTGGCCACATAAGATGCTACGTATTCATACATAAAGAGAAAAATATATGTTGTCATCTTTGAAAACAGCATGAAAATATAACGAGTCTAAGTCATTATTGTGTTTATATAAATCACATTAATCTGTTTTATGTACTGTATTAATATTAATATTAATATTAATATGATCCACTCAAGAGAAAGAGGTCAAGAAAATGAGTGAGAAAGGACTCCATCTACTGGTTAACTGCTGTCATTACATTGCCAGCTCAATATAATTAGGATTGTGCTGATTTGTGTGAACGTGTTTTATGTTTGATGAGAAAATTATTACACTGCAAAAATGTTTTCTTTATTTAAAAGAAACAGAGCACAAAAGGCAAACGCTCTAAATTTAAAAAAGAGTGATTGAGACAGAGCTAGCTGGCAACTTTCCATCTGTCACTGCATAAACACAAAATACACATTGAGTTCATCTATTAGATGATAGAGTTAACAATGGTGGAAGAAGTACTTGATTTTTTTTAAGTGAAAGATAAAGAGGTATAAAAATACTTACAGAAAATTGTAAATATCCAGGAAATGATTGATTTAAGTAAAATATTCAAGTGTTCATTTTCAAATGTACTTAAAAAGAAAAAAGAAAATTAAAAGTATTTTACTGCTGATGGACTGGCGGTGGGGGTTGGACAAGAGGCTAATGTAGTGGAGAATAAAGTACAGATAACTGTTTTATGATGTAGTACAATAAAAGTAAACAAAATGGCCTCAAGATTACTTATGTAAAATACAGATGCAGGAAGTACTTGTACTCCCTTACATTTCATCACTGATCTGGCTCATGCTTTTGGTTCATGGTCTTTCAAAAGGTAAACAAGTCAATAAACAAGTAATGAAAAAGCAGGAGTTGTACTGCCGTCTCTGACAAGTAACTCTGTCAGACACACTCTGACGAAGACACGAAATGTTAGCTGAATTTACTCATGCCAAAGCTTTTTTCTCACTCAGGTGCTCCAGCCCTGCTTCTTTCATTTGTTTTGTCCACTGGCTGTGGAGCATCGAGTTGTGAGCGGATGAGGCGCAGAAGGCTCTACTCAAAAAATAAGTACTTTGTCAAATGACTTTTATGTATTTTTTTATGTTTCGCTACATTTCAATTCAATTCAAGTTTATTTATATAGCGCCAAATCACGACAAGAGTCGTCTCAAAGCACTTCACATAATTAACATTCCAATTCAGTTCAGTTCATTAAGCCAATCAGAAATAATGTTTCCTATATAAGGAACCCAGCAAATTGCATCAAGTCACTGACTAGTCACTAGTGTCAGTGACTTTACAGCAATCCTCATACCAAGCAAGCATAAAGCGACAGTGGAGAGGAAAACTCCCTTTTAACAGGAAGAAACCTCCAGAGAATCCTGGCTCAGTATAAGCAGCCATCCACCACGACTCACTGGGGATCGAGAAGACAGAGCACACACACACACACACACACACACACACACACACACACACACACACACACACACACACACACACACACACACACACAAAGTAATGTGTCTATAGTTATATTGTGATGTCTTAGTAACTATTCTATTTGGTGAAAGATAAACTTTATTGTATTTATCCTAGTGGATCTCTAATTAAACGGATAAACTAGTAGTAGCACATCCAACGTCAAGGAAACCAAGTTATTATCAGGAGAGAGAGAATGTTTAAGTGGTTAGCAGTAGTGTGCTAGTCGATGGCCCCCTCCATGAGGCCACCACAGCTCAGCAGAACATCATTGTCGCTTCTTCTGGGGAGAAAAACACAGAGAAAATAAAGTTAACAGCTGAAATTGCACAAAATAGTACAGTTAAAGAGCAGACTGTAGAAGAAAGCAGTAGAGTGTGAGAAGTGGTCAGTGTATCCTCCAGCAGTCTAAGCCTATAGCAGCATAACTGCAGCGATAACTCTGGATAATCTATCCTATTTAGATGGAGGCATGTTGGAGGCAGGGCAAGGGAGAGCCGTCTTTACCGACTGTAGACTCCACCTCCCTGTACTCCCCCACTTGTCCAGATTTAGGCTAACATCAGATTTTAACCATAGGCCCTATCAAATAAAAATGTTTTAAGCCTATTCTTAAAAGTAGACAAAGTGTTTGCCTCACGGACTAAAGCTGGGAGCTGGTTCCACAAGAGAGGAGCCTGATAACTAAAAGATCTGCCTCCCATCCTAATTTTAGATATTCTTGGAACCACCAGTAGACCTGCAGTCTGAGAGCGAAGTGCTCGGTTAGGAACGCATGGAACAATCAGATCACTGATGCATGATGGAGCTTGATTATTAAGAGCTTTATATGTGAGAAGGAGGATCTTAAAATCTATTCTGAATTTAACAGGTAGCCAATGTAGGGAAGCTAAGACAGGAGAGATATGATCTCTCTTTTTAATTCTCATCAGAACTCTAGCTGCAGCATTTTGGACAAGCTGAAGACTTTTAACTACATTCTGTGGACTTCCTGAGAGTAATGAATTACAGTAATCCAGTCTTGATGTAATAAATGCATGAACTAGTTTTTCAGCATCACTCCTGGAAAGTTGTACTCCTGGTCAAAACTCTTCAGTTCATGAGAAAGTGGCTTTTTCTGGAACGATAAGTCTTATGGGTGTAAAAGTTTGTGGGTGATTTGGTGAGGTCACTGGAAAGGCTAAATGTGTTGAAATTCTTGTTCCTGGTTGACGTCATGCTAAAAAAAATTATACAGGACTCAAGCCACTTTTTTTTCTTTCTTTTTTTCCTCACAAAAACAAACTGAAACCTTAAGCTGATGTATGAAATCTTAAGTGCAGGGCCTTTTTTTTAATGTCACAAATATAACAAAAAGTCTCTTCACTCCAGAAAATCTCGTTAAAGAATGTCCAGTCTTTGTGTTTCAGTGGCATTTTTGACTTTAGCCCTGCACCAGTAAAGGTCTATCTATCTATCTATCTATCTATCTATCTATCTATCTATCTATCTATCTATCTATCTATCTATCTATCTATCTATCTATCTATCTATCTATCTATCTATCTATCTATCTATCTATCTATCTATCTATCTATCTATCTATCTATCTATCTATCTATCTATCTATCTATCTATCTATCTATCTATCTATCTATCTATCTATCTATCTATCTATCTATCTATCTATCTATCTATCTATCTATCTCAGAATCAGAATAAGAATCAGAATCAGAATAAGCTTTATTGCCAGCGCTCCAGCGACCCAGAGCATAGGAGCTTGACTCCGCAAACACAACCTGACCAAGGTTAAACACACACACATGTAGACAAGACAGGTACAGGCAGTCCACGAGAGCAGCCAGAACGGCGCTCATTTCATTAGATGAAAAGGGTGTTACATGAGGATAATTGGGGGTAAGGTAAAAAAAAAAGGCATAGCAGAGTTAGTCCCAGCAGGGAGTAACTCTATTATACAAAAAACTCCTCAACATAGAAGCACGAACATTACAGTTACAAAACATCAGACTCCGATAGGGAGGCGGGGGGGGGGGGGTCCTCCAACAGAAGCTGCCAGTGTACGGCGCTCACAGCTGCAGTCAAACAGGTGGGAGGGAGAGATGAGGGCCAGAGAGCCCATTGAGTTTCCTGCAGGTTGATGACCTTGAAGCAGAAGTCAAAATCTGAAGGCGGGGGGGTGGGGGGGTCGGGTCACAGCATCTGTCCGCATTCCTCCTTTTGTGGGGGTGATATTGGTGGCAGCTTTGGAGGCTGCCCTTGGCGTCAGGTAAGGATAAACAAGACTGTGTTCAGGGCAGACAGAGATACGTTTTCCTCTCTGCCTTGGAGTCCATTAAGTGGTCATTCATGTCCACCAGTGAAGCCAATTATACGTTCTAAACATCCACACACCGTCCGGCGACCCTCTCCGAGATGACATCCATCTTGCGCACTAACACAGGCAACGCCGCGAGGACATTGTCCAACTTACGGTTCACCTCGAGTAACGTCCCAGTCTGTGAGGTCACCGCACGGGCGGCACATTCCGTGGGTACGGGTCGCACTCCAATCGCTCCCGTCTTCCCAAATTTCCAGAAAACCAGATATCCTCCCACTCCAATCAGAAGAAATCCAGTGATCATCAGGCCGAATATCCACAAATCTTCCACGTCCTCGATGGACAACTGAGAGAAGCACACGATTCGCCAGACCTCCCAAGAATCGAGTGCATATCCCGCTGCGAATATCCCTTGAGGACAGGTGGGAGCCCTCTTCTCCGTTCTCATCGTAGAAAAAATCTTATCATTCGCGTCGAATGACCAGTTAATTAAGTCCATTTTCCAAAAAGAAGTAGTGATTTTCAGGAGAAATGCAGAGAAGTGCTCTGTAGGCAGACGGGACAGAGAGCCTTGGGAAAAAGCAGATAAGGGAGCTGAAGCAAAAAGCGTCTGTACTCTCTGTCTGTCTGTCTGTCTATAAATATATATAAATATATATATATATATATATATATATATATATATATATATATATATATATATAATACATATTCACTATATGTTTAAGAAAATAAATGAGCGGCTGTAAAACACAACATCTAGTTGCATTAGTTTAAAAAACACACAACCTTCCCACAATCCATCCATTATCATCTGCTTATTCGGGGTCGGGTCGTGGGGGCAGCAGCCTAAGCAGGGAGGCCCAGACTTCGATCTCCCCAGCCACTTGGGCCAGCTCCTCTGGGAGAATCCCACGGCGTTCGCTGGCCAGCCGAAAACATAGTTCCTCCAGCGTGTCATGGGTCTTTTTTTGGGTCTCCTCCTGGTTGGACTTACCCAGAAAACCTCACCAGGGAGGCGTCCAGGAGGCACAAGATACCTGAGCCATATCAGCTGGCTCCTCTCGATGTGGAGGAGCAGCGGGTCTACTCCGAGCCCCTCACGGATGGCCGTGCTTCTCATCAAAGGAGAGCTGTTCCACAGCCAGGATGAAAATCACGTTGTTCCTCCTGAATCTGAGGTCCGACAATCCAATGAAAATATATAAATTACGGTGTATTAAAAATAATAACTTGAAGTAAACCTCACAAAGTAAAGTGTTGTACTCTTTCCATTTCTTCACAAGATTCACACTGTCAAAAGCACAAAAAGCAAATAAGTTACTTCAGAGCAAAGTTGAAAGTGTGTTCTCTGTTATCTCCTGGAGAGAATCCATGCTGTAGTCAACATTAAACGTAGTCTCACTGGTGAAAAGTTTTCTCCACTTTTGACCGATCCCCGGGGAGAGCGGTGAGCTGCAGACACGAGCTCGGGAACTATGTGGTGGTTTAACCCAAAGTTCCAACTATTTCTGCTCCCTTCACCATTGATCTCACTGTTAAACTTTGATTTTGGCCACTGGAGCTGGGGCCCTTCATTTCATAAGAAAAGCAGCAACTAATGGTATCCCATAGAGTCCCCAGGTCTCCACCAAAATCTGACAAATTCTTTGTGTCAGCAAATGTTTGTTTTTTTTTTCTTTTATCAGATCATTTATCAGGTAATCAGATCGAGAGGAGCTCCACCGCCTCAAAGACTTCAGATGAGAAGTTCAGGCTGGCAAATACATTGCTGTCCATTGCTTCAATACTGTCGGCTAAACTGACGCTGTCGTGGTTGACGATGCCACTCTCAGTGGTGGGACTGATAACGATTATTCGTGGAACACTCTGAGGGGATCTGGGATCAGTGAATGGCATTTTACCAAAGTTCAAGGAGTCAAAAGAGTTGCTTTTGAGGCTGTGCAGTCGTTCCCTAAAGCTGCTTCTCTTGTCATGGGAATCCCAACTCTCATGACTTAGACTCTCGCTGCGCCTCCTGGTGAGAACTAGTAAAGGGAGAGTTGCGACCGTCATAGAGCTGGAAACCAGTTCGTGGTCATGGGTGCACAATTGGTCACTAGTGGTTGATGGATGCTGCAAAAAAGAAAAGGAGGACAACAAAATGAATTAACTATAAATTCACATCTGACTGCAACACAAACTTTGAAATGAGAAGCATTTTCTGACCTTCTCTGGTGCGAGGGTGTCACCCGCCCTCTGCTCCAGCTGTCTCTTGCAGGACCTGCCTCTGTAAGACTGGTGGTGTGACGACGTGTTTCTGAACGAACCTCCTGAATTTCTACCCTGATGATCCATTTCCATGTTCTTCAGAACCTGCAGGAGAGGAAATGTCAATGCCACTTCATGTTTGAGAGGATGCCCTTCAGTCAAATGCTGAATCGTTTTACCAAATCAATGCAGTTGGGTGAGGGATTGATGAATTTTGTCCTGGAAGCGGTGGACTGTCTGCTAAGGATGGAGTCCCTGAATGAAGACTCACTGATGGAGTAGGAGAGGCCTTCCTTTTGGGGAGCCGGGGACAGAAACCACAGACAGGGAATCTTTTCTGCCAGAGTCATCCTGTTGGGTACCAGACAACATAGTGACATTGGTTTAAACTAAATTTTTAGTGATCTTGCAGCTCATTTATACAAGAAATCTGTGTGAAAGCTACATTTATCCACAGTACCAGCACATCAAAATAAAATACTGGGGTTAAGAGAGGTAAACAGCGTTTAAAGGAGACTAGTTATAATTTTTTTGCTTCAGTTATAAAAGTCTATGGTCGATACCAAACATGTTTATGAAGTTCTTTGCACTACACCCCTCTCACATGAGCAGTTTTATTTCTGACCATTTCGGCGCCTTTCAGAATGAGTTTTGGGGCTCTGTCACTTTAAAGGTATAATATGTAAGAATGAAATTAGAAGAATATCCTGTGGTTAAATTTGGGTTCTGCAGTCATTTTTATCAACAAAAAGTTACTTCTCACTTGAGTGTTTAACAGTAGTGACATCTTATTACGTTAGTATGCCTCCGTCATTCGTGGAAGTGTAGTCTGCAGCTTTGCTGTTATCTTGAGCCCTTTTCAGATAGACCTTCTGGAACATTTGCGGACAATTCAATCCGGTTTTTAACCGGAACTGTGTTTTCAGACACACCACTTTTGTACCAGAACTTGTCCTTTCGGCTACGTTCACACAGCAGGGAAAAGTTCCAGATGTCTGATGGTGGCGGGGGGGGGGGGATCTGACTCATGTTAAGAAGAAGAAAATATCATTTCTATAGCGCCTCTCAAGATAAAAATCACGAGGCGCTTAAGCATAATTCTGCGCACACAAAGATGCATAAGAGACCTGGATGATGAAGCTCAATGGTTGAAGGAATCACTGAAGCGGTGTGAAGCGCTCCGTCGCGCGTCTAGGCGGTACCGTAGGAGGCGAGCTGCCGTGGTTCGCCGCATGCTACAGTAGCGGGCTATCTGGGTGCGCACAGCGTCCCCCGGTCCCCTCCTCCTCCCCCTCCCCCTTGTCCGGAACTTTACCTCACCAGTCTGAAGTAGCAACCCTGTCCGTAACAAGTCCGGTGTCGGTACAGTATCTGCTCGGGTGCAAGATCGGCTCGGGGTCCTTCGACTGCCGATGACGTCAAAGTACGGCAAACCCACTCGGACAAAATACACTACACATCTATACTGTTGGAAAGAATTTAGCAGTTTCGTTATTAAAATAATGTTTCTTAAGACGTAAGTTTGTGTTTATAATAGTATTTGTAAAATAAAACACTATATTTGATTCATGTTGAACTCCTCTTTGAGCACATCCCTTGAAGGATCATAGGTACTAGCAACACCTGTGAAATTGTATTTGCAGGAAAGAAGTGTGTCCCGTTTATTGAAGTATTTGTGTTGAGTTTTTGACGTCTTGTCCATGCGTAGTTCAGTTACGCTCATAGCTGCTAGCCAAAACTCTGGAGTTAAAAGTTTTCTGGCTTTACTAAAATACCTGTCTGTACTTATTTGATTGATGGTAGTTTTACTTTCTATTAGACTCCAAATGTAATCATTTGCCACGTTTCTAATTCATAATTTGTAATAATGTAATCGGCGATATTAGCATTAGCATTCCTATGGGTTTTTCCATGTATATTAGCATTGCGCTAACCACTCGCTGCCAAATTGCAGCCTTTGCCATTAGAAAATCTCCTTTTGTCACATCACAATTTAATTGCACATGCAGTTAATCGTTCAGCCCTAATATACTTGCAGCTCTATGCTAAAAGTGTATTTTCAAAGAGGTAATGATGGATTTCTTTGTAAAAGTTGTCCATCTTTCCAATAGAAAAAATTTGCCTGGACCAACGTCACGTGATAACAACGTTACGTGATTACGTAATTCCGTAAGGTTCATGTTCAGCCAATCAACTACTTAGACGTCATCGGCAGTCGACGGACCCGAGCCGATCTTGCACCCGAGCAGATACTGTACCGACACCGGACCTGTTACTAGGGGCTTCGTCCGGATAAATTCCGGAACACGTTATCCGGATGTTTGTATTCAGATGCAAAGGTCTTACGGACAGAGTCCGGAACATTTCTGTTTTTCATGGCCTGTCTGAAGGGGGCTTTACTGTTAAAGTTCTGAATGACTCAATAAAGGAAGTAAAACATTGCAACTGACTCATTATTCACATTACACACACATTTCACTGTAATATTAAGTTGTTGGTAATTGAAAAAGTAGTTTGGAAATTTTTGGGTTCACTACTTGCTTCTGCTTTGTTGTTGGCATTGTTAGCTCAACGTTAACCGCTAACCTTCATTATCCGATATTAAAGCTAAATAAAAGGATGCCTTGGCTTCTTAGAGGTACAAGAAATAACGTTTGGGTCGCTCCTGTTTACTGGCTTTTTCTTTAAACAACTCTGGAGCTTTTTGCCTGCTGATGTCAGATTACAAATTTTCATTGTAAAATTCTTACATATTGCTCCTTAAAGAAAGCAAGCTGGAGCTGGCCATGCCCACCCATTCCCTGCTCAGGGTGCTATAAGCTGAGAAGCTCCAATATCCCGGAGAGGCTTGGAGTAGAGCCCCTTCCCCTTCCATCAGCAACTCTCTCTTCCTTGTGAGAGGTCACTCTTTTACACTTTCCCCATTTGTGACATCACAAATGGGGACTTTTTAAAAGGCTTGTTTTAGGCACATAATTCCTAAAACCAAACACTGGTTTTAGGAATTATGGATGGATGGGGGGGGGGGTTACATTTGGAGTGTGTATAGAGCCCGTAGAGACCCACGTGGACGCACATAAGAAAGCAAAAGTTACATTTAGCCCAATATGTCCTTCTTTCATTCTTGTTTTATCCATTCACCTGTATTTGTCGTGGATGATGGCATAGATGATGGGGTTGTAGATAGTGGAGGCTTTTGCAATGACTGCAGGAACGGACTTGGAGTACGGTGACAAAATGTTGGAATGGCTGATTGAGACACAAAAACAAATTTAATATTTTCCCTCATTTTAATACAAAGTGTTCTTATTCATTTTGCTGCACACAGACATTTGTTATTTTGGTGTTGCACGACCAAACACGCCCATCACAACACAAAGTTCCCTGTTCTTTTTACTGGTTGTAGCTCTGTAACATAATAAAGGGTCATGTTTGGCCAGGGATTAACTTGCACCATCTGCTAGGTTGGGTTGGTTAAATCCATCTGATCATGTTTGCTCATGTGGGTTTTATGTGTGCCTAAATGCAGGTTAGTGCGCATGTAAAGCTGCCATCCTCTGTTAACCAAAAAAAAAAAAAAAAAAAAAAAAAAGATTGAGAAGCTGACCAAATGGGATATGCCCCTGTTGATAAAAAAAAAGTCAGACAAATGAGCAAATTCACTGTCTACGTGTACATGGAGCAACATGGGATGGATGCATAAATGGTCAGAACTGTGAGGGTCAGGAGCTTCCATGTTTTCCCTCATCTTGACTTTCATGTGACTGCTGGGAGTTTCTTATTTTACATAGAATCAACTATTAAAGGTGAAAGATGGAACATGAGCACCAGAGCAACATCTAGTGGGTGGAGGTTGTAGTTGCAACAATAGAGCAAAGTTTCCAGTCGTCGGGATACCAGGTTTGCTCCCGATATGTGCAGTTTCTTTATTTGGGTCCATCTGTTGTAGGCTTCACCTGGTTTTAGATCTTTCATGGTTGCTTCTCTTCTGAGAAGGATGACGACATCTTCTGGGCTCAGAAGAAGCTGCTTGACTTGCCGAGTCGCTGTGCCAAGCAGACTGTGTGGCAACCAGCAACAGTGCATTCTATTGGCTGGTAGATGTAAACATAAACTCAGTGTCGTACTCGTGTAAAATAATTTTTTTTATATTAAAATATAGCTTTTAAAGGAAATACTGTACCTTCATTCTGCACACCTTTAAACAGCCGGTGAAGTTATTTTTTTAATATAGCTTTTTATTTAATTGACCCATATTCAACCCCTAAATTAGCTAATTTTAGTTAATAAAAGAACCAAATGCCCTGGAGATTCCTCTCATAATTTTAAGGGCTCAGAACAGTATCACAGATTGGCCTTTCTGCATTTATTTGCATCACATGTGGTCAGATTTTTACAGAATTCAATGCTTTATTTTTGCTATGTAAACCCTGGAGAAATGAGCATTTTTACACCAGTCGATCATGAGAGAAAATCAACTATATCCTTGGATAGAAACTCTTATGAACTTGTGTGTCTTATATTATTTAGATAATAATACATTCTGGTATTAATTTTTCAATCATGGTACTGGTTTTTTGGCTTTATGCTTTTTTAACGTTTTCTCATATCTTCAGTCTACGTCCAAAACAAAAAACAGTAACTTTCCGTTGGAGCACTAAAATTATTGAATACATAAAAAGTTCTTACCCAGACCAGGAAATCAGAGTCACGCAGGCATACGGTGACCAAGAGAGGACGTAAACCACGATTACAACAAATGCAATCTTTGCCAGCTTCCACTCACTCCTGATGGACTTCTGTCGGATGAGAGTGCTTTTTCTCACCTGAGTTCCTAAACGTTCCAACTCCCTGAGGGTGAAACAGCAAGAGCTCAAACTTGACTTACGTTGTGTCTTATGTGGATGAAAAAAGTGCAAAAGATGCATCACCTGCTAGTTTTTCTTATAGATAAGAACATTTTTAGATAGCAGAACAGGATGATTCCCAGGGGAATAAAGAAGACAAAAACGCAAAGCATCATGGTGTAGCTCCTGTTGGCTGCTGTGTACGAAACATAATCCCATGTACATGATGTCATCAGGCCCTCCGGGATATAGGAACCTGGGATGAGAAAAGATCACAAGATATGTGGATGTTTACAGGAACATGTGCTCGTGGTGCATGGTGAGAACAAGTGTGAAATTAGGGATGCACCGATGGATCGGCATTTGATCGTAATCGGCCGATAGCGCCCCTATCGGTTTTGATTGGAGTTTTCAAAATAGATCAAAGCAGAGCGATCAGGTAGGGTTGTCACGGTAACCGGTGTAGCGGTAAACCCCGGTAAAAAAAAAGTTGACAATAATAATAACCGTCTTGTTTTTAAAAAACTATATTATCTCGGTGGGTTTACCGTGGCTGCGGTGTAGGCGCGGTGACCCTTACCAGCCACCGTATCATCTGCTGAAGTTGCCGGCGGCACATGCGCACTTTGTTGTTTACAACCAAAACTTTCTTGAAGCTAAAGCTGAAATAATAGCCAAAGGAGGAGACAGCAGCGCTCAGGAGGACATTTTTTATCCGTCAAAGAAGACAAAGTGGGAAGTACGGGCATCTTTTGGATATTTGAAGAATGCCGAGGGACAGTTGATAGAAGACGGCTATCCTGTTTGCAGCATGTGCAGAAAAAGTGTCTGTGAAAGGCAGCAACGCTTCAAATCTCATGACACATCTGCGTGACCATCACCCAAAACTCTACAGTCAACGCAAGGCAAGCTAACGTTAGCGTTTTAGCTCAAATGCGTGATCCGATGATTTGGGTTGAGGGAGAATGCAACGAGTCGCTATATAAAGCAGCCGCAGCGCCGCTATCTGCATATAAACCGTGTCGCGGACACCCCCATGTTGAAATGACGCTATGCATTACGGGGCTCCCAGGGGCAGATGAGAGTTGGTCTCTCTCCGAGAATAATTATGAATTTAACAATGATTACTGCCTGATGACATTTTCCCACATCTGCAAAGCTCACTGGAAGGACACAAACCGAGGACAATATTTTCCTGATATGGGGTTTATTACTCAAGTAAGGGTAAAAAAGTATCTGATTAGAAGGCTACTTGAGTACTGAGTATAATCTGATCTAATATTTTTAAAATGATGACATCAAACAGACATAAAATAAGAAGTTATGGGCAAATATTGGTATTTTAAACTCTAAAGGGAAAAAATGTAAACAAATAAACAACATAATTACAAAATAACACATTTTAGGCAAAATTTAGACACAAACTGAAGACAATATTTCCTGACATACAGGGTTTATTTAATTGTGTGAAAATGTAGCACGTTTAAAAAAAATACAGCGATAATACCGAAAACCGTGGTAATTTCGGTCACAATGACCGTGAGGTTAAATTTTCACACCGTGACAACCCTAATACAGACCATTTTAGATTAGGTTACATTTCCTTTATTCCCAGATTATGTAGTTTATAGCACTCATTATAATGTTGTAGAAAATTTCTGGCCAATCCACTTGATCGGTATAGGTGATCAGCATTCTTTGATATCGGTATCGGTGATCGGCAGCAAAAAACCTGATCGGTGCATCCCTATGTGAAATTAGCTCAAACGTATCACGACAAACATAACTCATAATAGTTCTTCTGTTCCAGAAAACTTACTCCAGCCAACCAGAGGAGCCAAACTCCAAACCAGAGAATAAAGCCAGACAAGGAAAATGGCAAATGTGGTTCTTTTCTTGGAGCTCCAGTGGATGGTCTGCAGGGGCCTGGAGATGACCAGATACCTTTCAATGGAGATGGCCAGAAGGTTGATCATAGAAGAAATGCCAAACAAGGCACCACAGAAGGCATAGATCTTACATCCTATAGGAGGACACACACACACACACACACACACACACATACGTATTAGCAAAGCAGAGCTAATCAAGATCTAGCCTGCTAACGCATGATAAGAATTACCCATCTCGCCAAACATCCATTCCTTGTAGAGGGAGTTGATGAAGAAGACGGGCGACTGTGTGAACGCCATGAGGAAGTCACTGATCGCCAAGTTGATGATGAAGTAGTTGGGCAGTTTACGAAGCTTCTTGTTGCTGCACAAATCACACAACAGGAGAGGTAATTGATTATTATATGTGGAGGGACGGCAGTGTAAAAAGTTTGAAAACTTTCAGAAGTTGTTTTGCTGAACAAGTTCACAAAAAGACAGTCTTACCACATCACTTTAAATCTAAATTACTTTATTGGACAAAATTATGACTTCAGTTTTATTTTAAAAAATTCTTTTGCAAATAATGTTTATCTAATTAAAATATTCTTACCGATTTGATCAAGCTGTTATTGCTGCCCTTTTATCACATTCCTCATAGTATACTTCAATAGAATAAAAGTAGGTTCACATCCTCTCTGAGAAATAAAAACTTCATGCTTTAATCAATCAATCAATCAATCAATCAATCAATCAATCAATCCTTTATTAATCCCAGAGGGAAATTATAGTTTCAGTACACACAATTCAGAGATCAGACATAAATGGGCAAGACACATGACAAGAATTGGTGACTATAGTCATTCGCAACCCTGAGTCGCACTACCTTAATAGAGATAAGAGGGAACATGAGGAATGGTTCAGGTGGAGGGAAAAAAAGGCACTTCAGAGTTACTTTCCAGCAGGAGGGCAGCTTTGCTCTGCAAAAAAAACCACCTCAAACATATATGCAACAGACTTCAGACAACACAACATAACATGAGACTCCAATAGGAAGGTGGGGGGGGGGGGGTTCACAGCATCTGTCTGCATCCCTTCGTGGGGGTTTTAGTTGCTTGCCGCTCAAGGCTACCAGGGCGTCAGATTCAGATAACAGGTGTCTATTTTCAGCTTTTTAATACAGGAAGCTGCACTGATGGAGCAGGTAAGGGTAGCTAAACTGCTAAACATCACAATAAAGGTGTTTAAGTATATTTTGCTCATGTTAGCTTCAAAAAAACACGGAACATGATTGTAATGTAAATTAAATTGAAGTGTTGAAAACTAAGAGGAGCGAAGCCCAAACGCATGTTCTGTCCATGTTGGAGGGTTTCTGAATGCATCAATAACAGGATGTAATCTGAGTCAGTTATTACAGGAATCAGGAGTTCAGCTGGAGAAAGACAGCATTTTTATAAAAAATAAGGAGATCCAGCAACGTCTTGAAACTCTAAAAAGTAAAAAAAAAAAAAAAAAAAAACTAGTTTGCTGCCAAGCAGATGGTTGACAGTGTGTTTTGGAAATAAAATGATCATTTTAAGTGTAATGAAGACTTTCCAAATTGTAATTGTCAGTTTGATGCTAAACTTAAAATATCAGTGTTTTAAGAGCAGCAAAGCTGATGCACAGAGAAAGGCACAACTGTATGTGTGTGTATGTGTGTGTACACACCACATGGTGACAGCCTGCTACATGAAGGAGCATTATGTAACACAGATATTGTCAAATCAGGTCATCGCTCTAATCTGTACACCTCAACAAGAAGCAAACTGAGCAGATAAGCTCACACTGAGTGTGTTTGTTTGTGTGTGTGTGTGTGTGTGTGTGTGTGTGTGTGTGTGTGTGTGTGTGTGTGTGTGTGTGTGTGTGTGTGTGTGTGTGTGTGTGTGTGGTAGGGAGGGGGGGGTGGGTGCTTTTAGCAGCTTTAAAATATTTGGCCACTCACGTCACTCATGTTAGATCCTTTCATTTAGGCATCCATGTTTAGACAGCTTGTCCTACTTCTAAGCATTTCTGAAACCTTTTAGGTTTCAAACCAAAGACAAACAATCTAAAACGGATTTGTAATCTTTTAAAAGGTATTAATGTCTGCATTTATTTGTTTGTTTGTTTGTTTGTTTATTCTTTATTGGTCCCATTGAGATTAAAAACCTCATTTTAAGGGAGCCCTGGCCACGAGGCAGCACAGTTACTTATATACAAAATTATAGAAGGCAGTTACAACACAGGGGAATCTGTCTCAAGTGCACTCAATCTGGTTTTAAATGTTTTCAAGGAGATTATTTATTTATTTATTTATTTGTTCATTTATTCATTCATTCATTCATTCATTCATTCATTCGTTCATTTAAAAATCTCATCTTTAAGGGAGTCCTGGCCAACAGGCAGCAAAAGATAAAGTAGTTGTTAAACCTGCAAATGTTTAAGAAACATGTAGATCTGCATTAATTACAGCCTGTAAATATAATTGTCACCCCTTCATCTTAAACAGTCACCATGAAGCAGATTGTGTCAAATACCTCTTTGTGACCATCAGCACCGTGTTTTAATGTTAAACCAAGACGTACTTGATCATTTGAATATTTAGCTTCTGTATTCTGCATAAATCTAAATTCATACACGTTGACTCGGCTGAATTTTCAGTTTCCAAAGCTCTTTACTGATTAAATTTGTTTCGTGACTCCTGACTGAAAGCTGCTAATCTCTAAGTCAGACTCATTAGTCAGCGCCCGCTGACGCGTGTGCGTTTTGTCTGCATGACGGTAAACTTTCACTGAAAGCGGTTGTGTCAGGTGAGGTCAGAAAACCAGTTATATTCCTCTAGTTTATCCCATTCCTTGTGTTGATTTAGTTCATGTGTAAAATTATGTTCTCTAAACTTACTGTTCATTTGCAATTCTGCAAATTTAAATCATCTGCACACAAAAATGGAGAATATAACCAATTTATCTAGATAGACAGATGGAATAAAAGAGCTGCTGACAATCCCCAGAGCACGCACGCGCGCACACACACACACACACACACACACACACACTGACCCAGTTTCTGTGGAACATTAACCATCAGTGACTCAAATGAGAGGTCACTGTTCCTCCAGATTACACCACACACAACACAAACTCATCGCAGGACTTCTAAAGGGAACTTTTTGCTGCGAGTCCCTCATCTTGTTGAATGATGTATGATCTATTTAAAAAATCCAAGGAAAAGTTGGTTGTTCTTTTTGTTTGACATCACCCGTTGCACACTGCATGCATAAGACCTGGAACTCTGAATTTATAAGCAAGTTTTCAAATTAAAAAGTTACATTTTTTGATGAAACCATGTTTTTTTGTTGTTGTTTTTTTTTTTAGAATAGTCTGATTTAGAATGCAAAATACATTGCTAAAATTCCAGAGGCAGGGTTTTAATTTTGTGCTATTTTTCAAAATTTTTGTTTATTTTATGAGTATATTTATTTTTATTTTGAGTGTTTCTCATTTGATTTAAGTAGCAGTAATCACTTTTTGGTTAACTGGGGGGTTGATTTGCCCTTTAAATGAAAAAGTTTCATCTTTATAGAAACTGATTCTGTAAAAAAAAAAGAACTTAATATATATGGTTATGGTTTTTGCTAATCTGAAAATGGATTATTCTTCAGATTAGATTTTTAAAGAGCTCAAAAAAGATAGCTTTCAAAAAAAGAAAAGAGACTTTAGTTAATATGTGCTATAAAACATAAACACTAAAATAATCGATCAAGTGCACGTTTCTAAAGTGACGCTCATCTCTTCAGACTCACCTGAAGAAAGCAAACATCACCAGAGCATTCCCAGCGACGCCCAGAGCCCCGATCACAAACACAAACACAGCGACCACATAGTGAGCCTGGTCGGGCACGTCCACCTTGCCGTAGCTCCTCTGGGTGTGTGTTTTCTCAGGCTCCATGCTCTCAGTGGACCACATGATTCAAACACCTTGGCAGGAACTTCCAAGCAGGCAGAATGAGACAACTCTCCTTTCTGTGATCCACTTCTTTTAGCTGGGGTTGCCTCTCCATTAATTGAAGCATTAGAGCAAGAAGGGTTAGATGTTTTGCACTAATGATATATTTCTCCTGATTATAGGTGTAATAAAGATGAAAGATCTCAAATACATAAATATAAACATAAACATCTCATCCACTCCATCTCATTTTCCTCCACTCTCATCTGACATTCCACCTGCAGTCCTCAGGTATTTCCTCTTGATACTTGGTGAGTTGAAATGATTCTTTCTTCCAGATCATTAAATCCCACGGCCGAGCCTCTGTCACCGCTCGACAGTCCAACTGGCAATCGCCTGCAGCCTCCTCACCCTTCACACCAGCTGTGGTCCAGACTCTCACTCAGAGGGCTCTCTTTGCACCGCTTTGTGTGAACCTGTGACTCCTAACCTCTCGTGTTGCTCTCTTCCTGCGTCTCTCCCTCACTGTCCCGTGATGCTTTGTGACACTGCCTATCTCGCATCACTCTGCCTCCCAACCCCACATCCTTTGTGCAACACGGCCCAGCCCTGAGCTCTGTTAACTACCACATTCTTACGTAACTGGCTTGTTGCTCACAGCAAGTATCAACAGCGGCATAAGCTCAGAGATCCGTCAGATGCTTCAAACATGGTAGCAGGGACATATGTAAGTCACATTATACAGCCCTTACGTAACAGTGGGGCATAATCTGCTCAATATTCACTCATTCATCAATCACCTGATCAAGTCTACATGATTTTATTTAGTGTTGGATTATTTTGGAAAATATTCTAAAAACACAAGTTGTGAATTAGTCTCCATCCATCTGTCAGCTGGTTGAGGGTCAGAAGAGCCCACCGGCTGGCCTTTCATTTTATGGTGTTGGAAGAAAAAGACGACATGGGACTAGTGGGAGGCAAAGAGTTGAGACAGAGAAGTCATCTGAGCCCCTGAAGCTAAATTCCCTCCTAATTTGAGCTGTGTGCATGCATGTGGACGAGGGTTTGTTCTGGAGAGAAGATAAACTGAATTGATGCTGGCTGTGTGTTTGTGTTTTTACAAGTTCATTCCAGAAACAGACATTTGAGTTTGCACCAGTGGTCCCCAACCTTTTCTCCTTCAACACCAACCTTCATTCTTACCCACATACACACAATGAAAGTGATTCATTGCAAACTTTATACAGAATTTTGATTGTGTTGGGTCTGTTGTTGGGATTTTATAAATATACATTTTACAAATGTAGTCTTGGTAACCTCACAACCTCAGCATTGACAAAATTGTCATAGACCTGAATTTTAGAACCACTGTTTTATACTAATTAGCACTCAGATTAAAAAACATGAGAACATGGATTTTTAAAGAAGTTTGTTTCAACTTTTGTTAACTCAGTAACAACTACTGTGGTATCTGTTGAGAAATATGCATTAAGATTTGTGTTGCCTTACACATATTCATTTTTTTTTCTCAGTTTCTGATGACATTTCTGATCTGCATGGACCGTCAACTACCTCATCAACAGGCCACAGTACATGTAGCTGCACAACTTTACATCTGAGGTGGTTGTGTGCAGTACTGGAGCTCAACAGGGTACAGTGCTCTCACCCTCTATCTTCACCTTCTACACCTCGGACTTCACCTACAACGCCATCAGTGGTCACCTCCAGAAGTTTTCTGATGACTCAGCCTTTGTCAGCTGTGTGTCTGAGGGGAATGTCCAGAGTGCAGGTCAGTCATCATGGACTTTGTGGACTGGTGTGAGTGTGAACAAGCTAGTTCACAAAGCTAGCTTGGTTCTGAGATTCCCACTGGATTCAGTTGAGGAGAGGTGTGAAAGGAGAATGCTGGCGAAGATGACCTCCATCTTTAAAAAAAACTCCCACTGCGTTCCACTGTGGAGACCATGGACAGCTCCTTCAGAGCCAGACTGAGACATCCCAGATATAAAACAGAACGCTACCGTAGATCCTCAGTTTAAGATGTACTGACACTATCCTGTTACACAACCACACCAATGCAATATTCATCATGTGTTCAATACTCGTTCAATACCAGATTTACAAAGAATGTCATTGTCTCTTGCAGTATGCTGCATAGTGTTGGAACCCAAGTTTTTCTTTTTTTATTTGTGGTTTTTAGTGGTCGAAGGTTACAATTCTAGACTACTGCCTATGTGTGATATTATTTTTCTTCATATTATTCTCTTAAGTGTTGATGCTGCTGTACCAAGGGAATTTCCCTACTGTGGGGTCAATAAAGTCTTCTCTGTCCTAAATCCATTAAAATTGTAAAAAATAAAAAATAAATAAATAAAAAATAAGTGACCAAATCAGATTATTTGTAAAAAATAAATAAATAAAAATAAATAAGGCCAAATTGCCACACTTTGATTCATAGCTTGAATGAATACAATTGTATTAACTCTTTCACACTAAATAAGTAATATTATATTAATGCATCTTTACATGACACATTTTTTTTCACTTACCTTAAAGAGACAATCTTTAGTTTTTACCATAAATCTCTGGAAATTCCCATCAAAACATTGTTGAAAATGAATAAAATTATGTCCAGTTGTTGAAAATTGTTGGCGGCTCCTTATCAACTATAGAACTATAAAAATTGGGTCTAAAGTGTAGGGTGCAGGTCTAGCATCCTTGGGGAAGACACCATGTTCCCTTCTGAACGGCTCGGGGTCCTGCACCTGTTGATGACATCACACTAGATGACATCACACTAGAGGATTGGCTGGACATACAACTTACGGAAGTTACGTTACCACATTCAAAAACATTTAGGCAGTAAGAAACATGAATTTGAGTGCAAACTGCTAAACTGTTTCCAAAACATCGACAGGCGCAGGACCCCGAGCAGATCCAGAAACTACAGCATCAGAAATCTACAATTAGGGCTGCTCAATTAATCGAATTTTAATCACGATTACGATCTGAGTTTTGAACGATTATAAAAAACAAAACAAGCCGATTATTTGCTCCTCCCACTTGCGCTGCCCTGAGTTGCAAATGAAACGCTCCTCCTAGGGTGTTGCCAACTTGGCGACTTTGACGGTATTTCTAACAGCTTCTCAGACCCCCTTCTTGACTTTTTAAATCTTAAAAGTACCTAGCGAACACCTCAGAAACATCTCTGGTAACCCTTAGCTACTTTCTGGATAACTGTCGTCGACGTTTCCTTATTTCAAAATAAGGCAGCACATGTTTTCCTTTCCTTTAATATCTATTTCAGGTCCTCGTATCTGTTTCAGCCCATTTAGACAAATGACCTTGTCTTTATGGAAAAACACATCTGAGGTGTGGGATACAACCAGTATGACCTAGACTGCGAGGTTCAGTGTTCCACATGTCAATGAGTCGTTTACTATTGAACCGGCTGGTACCATTGGTGGACTCTGATTCCTGATAAACACGCAGCAAGCTTTCAGCGCTCTGTGGGAGGGCACAAATTATAATTGACTGCTGGATGTTCCCTGACTGGAGCTGCAACCTCTGGCACAGAAGTAAGCTGGAGATCAAAAACTCACCAGATAGGACCATAAAGTACCATCAAAGCACCAAAACATGATCTGCATCAATAACAAGATTAGGTGGTAGGATAGAGGGTTGGGGGAGAAGGTGGGGCTCTATAATAACATATTTTAATGATTTCTAAGTAAAAAAATTTTACAGTGCATGTGGAATTTTCTTGATTTTTGCTGAACACGTTAAAATATTCAAAAGTTAAAAGCACAAGGATTTTTTAAATGTTTATATTTTCCTTATCTCATCTTCAGATTCATGTATGCTGTTTTCAAAATAAAAGATCCTTTAATTTAATTAACATCTGCCAATTTTTTTAAATGAGTTGTCACCCTAAAATTGTTGCTGATTTTAACAAAAGAACTTTGTTTTGCATCTTTTTTCTTGTGATAGTTACACACTTCATCCAGAATGAGATGAACTGTCGATATTCTATGGGGTTTTAAATGTCACATGCATGTCTTCAACCTCTTTAGTGAATGGAATCTGGGTTGGAGACCAAACCACGTGGAAAAAGTAGGTTGTTACATGCTTTTTGTTGCATGAAATAAAATAAAGTCAATAGCAAACCACCACAGCTGGACTCTGCATTTAGTTCTTTATCGATCTGTGTGGTTGTTTCTCTTTGAAGTTACACTTTGCTACTGATTTGACAAGGTTTTCACAGGATTAGAAGAAAGTAACCTTTCAAAAAAATAATAAGTTAATGTAACATGGCGTATGGCTTTGAAGTATGTCAAAAAATACAACCAAATATCACATTGTTACATGTTAAATACATGAAAAGATCAAATCAGGCCAGTTTCTTTCTACTTTTACCCCAGAACCTGAAACAACAAGAAAGACATCACCAAGAGAAGAAAATGTTTTCCTTCAGCTATGTGAGAACTTCCATCTGTGGCCAGATGAAGACCATCCAGATTTACTGGGGGGAAGAAAAGACAGAAAAGCAAGATAAGGTAACACTTTAAATTAAGGGACCCTTTATTAACATTACTTAGTGCATTATTAAGCATTAATAAAGTAATAAATAAAGTGTTAACAACTGCTTAACCATATTGTGCAATGCAATAAGCAGAGACCCCCCTGGCCCTTTGTCCTAACTTTAAGGACACTTGGTAGCACTTAACAATAAGGGTCCCTTTATTAACATTACTTAGTGCATTATTAAGCATTAATAAAGTAATAAATAAAGTGTTAACAACTGCTTAACCATATTGTGCAATGCAATAAGCAGAGACCCCCATGGCCCTTTGTCCTAACTTTAAGGACACTTGGTAGCACTTAACAATAAGGGCCCCTTTATGAACATTACTTAGTGCATTATTAAGCATTAATAAACTACTAAATAAAGTATTAACAACTGCTTTACCATGTTATGTAATTCAATACTAAGCATACAGCCCCCCTGGCCCTTTGCTCTAACTTTATAGACACTTAATAGTTAATATTGGGAATGTTAACAAAGGGGTACTTTGTTTTGTGACGTATCAAAGGTCAAACTTTCACCGACAAATTTACATTATCAATGCTTCATAATGTATTAAGTCATGTTAATGAAGGGACCCTTATTGTAAAGTGTTGCCCAAGATATTAAAAAAAAGCTTCTAAAGCTAAACAAGTGTTTTGTTGTACTTACCACTGGTCAGAGTGCTGGATCTCACGTTGACCCAGAAGACGGTGCGTTGCTGAGCAACTGTAGCCCTGAAACACACACACACACGTACACGCACACACACACAAAAAACACACAACAGATATTGATTTTAGAGATTTTTCATGTTTAGAGTGTAACATCTGAATTAGCCTATGAAAAGTCATGTATTTACATAAAGTAGATGGGGCTGGTAGTGCTGGGTGGGATCCAGCTGAACACAGTGCCGTTTCCCTTCAGGTTGGTGTTGGCGTGAGTCACAGCTCCTTGTGGGTTCCCCGCACACTGAGAGAGTCATCATTAAAAACTCGTGTCACTTTTTTTTCCAATGATAAGTCAATAAGTCAATATCTCTTAACATTAGTGTGACCTACTGCTGCAGTTTGACAGTTTAAATTTTCTACATCCACTTTTTTTTTAATATCAATTGTAAAAAATGGTAAAGTAAAAACAAAACACACCTGAAGGTATCTGGTGTCTGGAGGAGGAAGTATCCAGCTTCCCAAAGCATTAGTGTTACTTCCAGTTCGAGCTTCCAGAAGAACTCCCCGGTAGTCCGGTCCTGTAATGGTAACTGCACGAAAACACAGCCGAACAAAACTCGTGTTGCAGACCTGTATACTGTATCTTTTCTTTCTTTTAAATCTCCAAATGTGTGTTTTGCAGTTCCAACTCAACGACTAAAGGGCAAAAGTAACGTAAAACTGAATTAATTATTTCACACTAATTCATGAACAAAGGCATGAATCTGTCTCTTATGGTAAGAAGTCTGCAAATAAAAAGAAAAAATTCAATCTTTATGTTTAATTTAGTGTAAAATATAAAGGAGTTAATTGGAATATCCTTCTTTTCTTGCAGGCATTCCCTCCTTACCTGTGATGGGATGCCCTGGCAGAAACGTCATGCTGTTGGTGATAATGCGGTAGGGAGCCGGTGAAGGCTGAGGGGCAATCCCCATGTGTCGAGGCAGCATATCCTCACAGGCGCCCGTGGGAGCGCCGCTGGGATAGCCCTCAACAACATAAAGCACCTGGAGGACGAATAAACCGAGCAGCCACATGCTGTTAAAACGAATAGAGAGCTAAGGCGAGGGAGGAACTTTTAAAAACTCTTTTTGCCAAGTCACGCAACCGGAACATCGAACATTTTCTCTGGTTAAAACATCTGATCTGGAACTGTGAAATCTGGTTTCTCTCCAAAGGAACTTTAAAGTGTTTTTGTATGTAGAAAGGTCAGGAACAATTAGAATCTCACTTGTTTAGCTCGCTAAATGACTTTAGTTTGGAGAAATTGAGATTAGTTTTTATATGGACTAACAGGTAATCTTCATTGAAAGAAGCTCTAAAGTGCAATTTTGAAATATAATTTAGCAATTCACATAGTTAAATGTTTTTCATACTATTTTAGAGAAGTGTTTGATGTTTTCTTCTTACACCTGTTAAAATTTTCCATTCCTTTTATCCCACAGATTTTATTTTATTTATTTATTTATTTATTTATTTATTTTGTCCACATACTATCAACAGTCTGGTTTACTTTGTTGGAGAATCATTTGTACTATGGTGCGTGGCAACGTTGTATTCCAGCTGATTACAGGATTATTGACCGGGTGCACATGAACTAATTAATTTTCCATTAACTGTAACAATATGGTGGCTCTGTGTTAGGTTTGATTTATGTAACCCTTTATAAGTTAGAAAGTCTCTTGTTTAAGTGAAATAGTTTGTTATTAAGGTGGTAATTTAAACAAGAAAACGTTTTTCAAATGAGAATTTTTCAAATGAGAATTTTTTTATGTATTAAAGGAAACAGAAACCTCTAAATTGCACAAATCTCAGTTTGATGAAAACAGGTCATTTCTTCTTTTCAATCCAAAGCTGCTGTTTTGGGAGACAGTTTTTGATTCTATTATTATTATTATTATTATTATTATTATTATTATTATTATTATTATTAAGGTACATGATGAAGATGTAAGAATGACATCCTGTGGGCAAATAAGGGTACTGCAGTCACGGGTTTCAAAATAAAAATGAGATGTTGGTAACTAAAAAAATAGCTTGGGATATTTGTAAAGTTATTTGTGTCACGACGTGTGCAGGTGAGTTGACTGGAGGTGAGGATCCAATTGCTGGGGAAGAAGGCAGGCAGGCAGACAGGAACGTTTTAGGAAGGTTTTAATACAGAACACGCTGGACATAGAAACTATGAACCGACAGGACAAACAAGAATGAGAGTGTTGAAATGCATGAGAAGCTGGGACCTGGAGTAATTGGAAGATGGGAGGCACAGAATGGGGAGACAGGACAGGTTGTGACAGTAACCCCCACAAAAGGGCGGCACCAGATGCCCAACGCAGGCCAAGAAGGAGTCTGGGGGGCCGGCGTCTGGGGCACAGGAGGCGAAGCCAGAGTCTGGGGGGGCGGCGTCTGGGGCACATGAGACGATGGGTGAGGACAGGGCTGGCGGTGACTGGAGGCGCCGACTGGACTGCAGGCGTAGCCGCCGACTGGACTGGAGGCCAGGCCGCCGACTTGACTCGAGGCAGAGCCGCTGCAGGAGGGGCCACCACCGACTTGACTTGAGGCACTGGACCTGGCGCCGACTTGAGTGGAAGTGCTGGACCTGGCGCCGACTTGACTGGGAGTGCTGGACTTGACGCAGACTTGACTGGGAGCGCTGGACCTGGCGCCATCTTGACTGGAAGTGCTGGGCTTGGCGTCGACTTGACTGGAAGCGCTGGACTTGGCGCTGACTTGACTGGAAGCACTGGACTTGGTGCTGACTTGACTGGAAGCGCTGGGCTTGGCGCCGACTTGACTGGAGGCAGAACCACTGCAGGCGGAGCCTCTTGGACAGACTGGGCCGGGGGCAGAGTCTCTTGGACAGGCAGCTGTGCCGCTGACTGGACTGGTGGCGGGGCTGCTGACTGGACCGGCAACGCCTCCTGGAGAACCAGGGAGGATAGAATGTCTAGCTGGAATTCCTGGAGGCTGAGGATCTGATGGAGCCAGACCAGCTCAGCTTGGAGGACAGTGAGCTCTGTTGGATTGGCTGCCGGCTCGGTCCCTTGGCCTGGAGATCAGGGAGGTGCTGACTGGACTGGAGGCGGAGCCGCTGGCTTGACTGGAGGCGGGTCCGCTGCAGGTGGTGATGCTGTCTGGACTGGTACTGCCTCCTGGAGAACCAGGGAGGATAGAGTGTTCAGCTGTAACTCCTGGAGGCTGATGAGTTGACGAAGCCGGACCAGCTCCGCTTGGAGGCCGGCAAGCTACGTCCGATGGACTGCAGTCTCGTTCCCTCCGCCTGCAGATGAGGGAGGTGCTGACTGGACCAGAGACAGAGGCTGGGTGTCCAAACTGGCGCACCGAGCCGGGGTGGCGGTGAGCATGTGGCGCTGTTCAGTGGCTGGAGGTGTCGGTGGAGCCCACGTTCCTTCCCGGCACCGTGGGCCAACTCCGGGGGAGCACACAGCTAGTCTGGTGCCCACATAGCAGGAGCGGTCCAGCTTCGTCTCCCAGTCCAACCTCCCAACTGGCTCCAGGAGGGTGGAGAGGATCGCCGAGGCTCGGCGTAGGCGTCTACGGCGAGGCGGCGCTGGAGGAGGGGAAGCTGGCTGGTAGTTCGGGGTGAGCCACCGGAGCAGGTACTCCCAGGGGAGAAATTCCCTGCTGGATCCTTCGTCTGGCCGGTTCATTCTGTCACGATGTGCGCAGGTGAGTTGACTGGAGGTGAGGATCCAATTATAGGGGAAGAAGGCAGGCAGGCAGACAGGAACATTTTAGGAAGGATTTAATACAGAACACGCTGGACATAGTAACAATGAACCGACAAGACAAACAAGAATGAGAGGGTTTAAATACATGAGGAGCGGGGATCTGGAGTGACTGGAAGATGAGAGGCAGGTGGGAGCAGTTAGCATGGACACACACTTGAACAGAATGGGGAGACAAGACAGGGTGTAACAATTTGTATCTACACTGAACACAAAGCTTTTGTTTTTGCTCCCATTTTTCATGAGCTGAACAAGCATCTGAAAATGTGTCTACAAACACAAAAGACCCATGACTCTCAAATAATGTTCTGAAATCTGTCTACGTGTGTTAGTGAGCAGTTTTGCTTTATGAGGGTGGTGGGGCAGAAAACCAGTCAGTATCTGGTGTGGCCACCATTTGCCTCACGCAGAGCAACTCATCTCCGTTGCATTGAGTAGATCAGGTTTTTGTTGTGGAATGTTGGTCCACTCCTCTTCAATAGCTGTGAAAAGTTGTTAAAAATTGGCAGGAGCTGGAACATGCCGTCGTATACGCCGATCCAGAGCATCCCAAACATGCTCAATGGGTGACATGTCTGGTGAGTCTACTGGCCATGCAAGAACTGGGATGTTTTCATCTTTCAGGAATTGTGTTCAAATCCTTGCAATATGGGGCCGTGTGTTATCATGCTGTAGCATGAGGTGATGGTCGTGGATGAATGGCACAACAATGGGCCTCAGGATCTCATCACGGTACCTCTGTGCATTTAAAATTCAATCAATAAAATGCACCTGTGTTTGTTGTCCATAACATACGCCTGCCCATACCAGTACCCCACCGCCACCATGGTCCACTCGTTCCACAACGTTGACATCAGCAAACCGCTCACCCACACGATGGCACACACTGTCAGAACCCAAGTCCCCAAGCCAGCCTCTCCCAGCTAGCCGATCTCCACCATGGACCACATCTCCCAACATACCCCTCACGGGGATTCCCTCCACGTCACACCTACGTCACTAACTGCGACTATATACAGAAGTCGTCTCCCCAGCTCACCACTCAGTCATCGTTTCTTTGGATCCATGATCAGAGTTTCCAAGCAATCAATCCATCTTACGAACTCTCAGCTCACAGTAAGTGTTCTTACTTACTTCTGGAAAACCCAGCATTTCCGTGTCACTTCATTGACACTCGAATTCTCGGGGATTCCTAGATTAAACCGTGAGCCGGCGTTTCACCGACGCTATCACCTCCGCGTCTGTGAGACCACGCTCTCTACAAGCTCAACTCCCGTATTCAGCCGACCAGTCTGACACACACGCAGTGTGCCATCTGCCCTAAACAGAGAAAACCTGGACTCATCTGTAAATAGAATGCCTCTCCAATGTGTCAAATGCCATCGAATGTGAGTGATTGCCCACTCAAGTCAGTTACGATGACGGAACAGAGTCAGGTTCCGACCCCGACGAGGACGACAAGCATGCAGGTGAGCTTCCCTGAGACGGTTTATGACAGTTTGAGCAGAACTTCCCTCATTATGCAAACCGATTGTTGCTGCAGCTGTCCGGGTGGCTGGTCTCAGGCTATACTGGAGGTGAACATGCTGGATGTGAAGGTCCTGGGCTGGTGGGGTCACACGTGGGGTGCAGTTGTGAGGCCGGTTGGATGTCCAGCCAAATTCTCTGAATTGCCTTTGAAGAAGACTTATGGTAGAGAAATGAACATTCATTTCACAGACAACAACTCTAGCAGACATTCCTGCAGTCAGCATGCGAATTGCACCCTCCCTCAAAGGTTGCGACATCTGTCACATTGTGCTGTTTGATCAGATGGCACATTTCAGGCTGGCCTTTTATTGTGGGCAGTCTAAGGCACACCTGTACATCATTCATGCTGTCCAATCAGCCCCTTGATATGTCACACCTGTGAGGTGGGATGGATTATCTTGGTAAAGGAAAACTGCTAACTAACACACATGTACACGGATTTCAGAATAATACTTGAGAGTCATGGGTGTGTTGTGCATGTAGAAAAAGTTTCAGAGGTTTGAGTTCAGCTCATGAAAAATGGGAGCAAAAATAAAAGTGTTTATATTTTTGTTCAGTGTAATTCACCGTTGGCATAGTTAGTGCAACGTTAGCTTCTAGCCTTCTTTGCCTGATATTAGAGTAAAACAAAAAGATGCTGTGGTTTCTTAGAGGTACAATAAATAATGTCTGTGTCACTCTTGTTGCTTCCATTTATTTTATTTTATTTTTTGTTTGTTTTTTATTTTTTTCAAAAAGCTGCTGCTTTTTGCCAGCTGGTCAAATGTGATTATCTCTGGAAATATAGGGGCAGGACAGCCGCTCAGTTGGCTGAGAAGAAAACCAGTTTACATTCCTTCCAACATGATTCACACATTAGACAGTTTTGTGATTATTTCACTGTAAAAGTCTTACTTGTTTCACCTTTGAATACAGTTCAACCAATTTTTTTTTTCAAATAAGGTCCAAGAATTATCATATTTCAACAATTTGCTTATATGGGTTCAGAAGATCTTTCATGGACGTAAAAACAAAGAGTCGGAGTACCCGGCCCGGAGGGTTACCGGGGCCCCACCCTGGAGCCAGGCCTGGGGTTGGGGCCCGTGAGCGAGCGCCTGGTGGCCGAGTTTTCGCCCATGGGGCCC